CTCAGCTGAAAATAGTTGGAGGTTTGAAGACTATTACGAGAAAATATCATATATACTTGTTCATCTCCTAAACTTCTTTAGGCATCTGCCTATTGGAGTACTGAGATACTGAGACAGATTAACGTTGGGTCAGTAAGGGAGTTCTCACGATCACACTGCTGATAGTGGTTTCAATGTTCTGTGATTTAAAATGTTCTAGTCCTGTTGCCAGACAGAGCATGTACCCACCCCGCTGGGACAATCTCCTGCAAGCAGCCCATGCATCTTTGCTGGAGCACTGAATTTCAGTTTACATAGATCTGTAAAAGGCAATGTGCCATTACACATGCCTGCCCTTACAATGAGCTGTTTCCTTGGTGGGACACAGCAAAGGGAGGCTGTGACATCAACTGCACTCTTTGTTTATTCATTACTGGATCCAGCCCTGGGGTCTGACTTGCAAAGTCCCCTGTTGTAAAGGACTGTAATGGATTGGAGTCAGGAACTTCATCCTCTTTCAGAAGCAACTGTGGTTTTTAGAGTCACCAGCTAGAAGACCCCAGGTTAACTGTCATGGGGTCCTCAGGAGGGGGAATAGTCTTAGGAGTAGTGCAAGAAAGGGTCCAAACCCTGGGAAAGATGTTTGCAGAGTGCTATAACCATCATCTACCCCGAAAAATCGCATCTTTAACAAGATGTTTTCTTTTGTTTTTCTTTATGGGGAAATCTAAATGGGTGTTCTGGCCCAGAAGCTCAGAAGATTAAACTTCACAGGAAAAAGGAGATTTGCTTGTCCTCACTGGACTGGTCCCAAGGTTTTTCTGTTTTATCACTGGGAAAGGCATTTTAGAAATGCCAGTACTGAGTGAGGGAGAGGGAGTTGCATTCATTTCTGGATATTATTTATTGGATTTTTGAAAACTGACCTGAGAAAAATGTTTATTTAAAAGAGTTACTGCAAATTATATTGTTAGTGTTCTAGAACAAATGGTCAGTTAATGGTTATTTTGTTGGCAGAAATAAAAAGCCTGGACCCCACACCTGTTCAGCTGTAACTGACAAACAAAACAATCGTTCAAGTAGAGTGAAAACAAACCAAATGCCCTTGAATTTTCAAAGAAAATACAACTCCTTCATGTAGCCCTAGGACAACATAGTCTGTTTGTTGGGAAGCATACTTAGTAGCGAGCTACAAATCTCTTTGCTGTGAGACTGAACGAGTGTCATACATTTTGTTCTCTTTGTCTCAGTTGATAGTGTCTATAGTACTATTCAGAGATAGAAAATTTGTGGCTGTCACTGTACCTGTCAGGAAGGAGCAATACCCTCTGGCAGCGACAGTCAACTTTATGGAGTTTTATTAGTATAATGAATGAAAGCCCAGTAGCATGCCCTGTAACACTCCTAAACTTTGGATTTTAAAGGGAATCATTATTAACAGTGAAAAACAACTAGCAGCTTGTTTTATGTACACTTTGTTAAAAGCTCCACATATTTTTAAGAAGAGATTAATCTACAGTAATTTGTCATCAGGCTCTGAGTGAATGTGATATGATCCATACAATTGCAGAAGGTTCTGCAGGAAATTTGTAAACATAATGCAGTCACATGTTTGCATGTGTGACTCCTGAGTAGCTGACAGCAGCTGTATAAACTTCTGCTCCTGCACAGAAGAGAGACATAGTGTGGCTGCAGCTGTGTATTGTTAATTGCATGGGCTGCTTTCCTTGGCCACCATATACGTTAATAGAGCTGTGCAGCAGTTGCTGTCCCTCTGTCTCTCTTCCGCTGACTCTTTTCTTCCTCTCAACTTTTGCTCCCCAAAGGTCAATAATATTTTATAAAAGGCCCTGGTTACCTTGCAGCATGTCCCTTTTGAGCTCTAAGCACAAACACATTCGATAAACTGTGCTGGAAATGTTTCTCATTTACTACTTACAGTAAAAGGAAAACAAAATAGCAAAGAGTGCTCCACATCTTTTCAAGGTCTTGAGATAATTAGTTTAATAAAAACTCACCTTTATAAGGCATGATCCAAATGTGTTGCCATTGGAGGGAAACTCCTGCTAACTGCCGTGATTTGGGCCCATTGGCTTCTCTGGGTTCCCTCTATTGTTTTATACAATGTTAATTTCTCATCTCACACAAAATTATTTGCCAAAGAGCACAAAGAGCATATTCTGTCTTGCAGTGGTGGGAGATCACTTGAAAGAATGCATTCAGAGAGTCAGATTGCTCTTTATTTGGTTTAAATCTTAAACATTCCGTGGCATTTGTGATTATCACTCTTTGCTACAGGGCCAGTAGCACTCCTGATGCTCCAACATCCCATATTGCAGAAGGAGGAACAGCTTCCTTGGAAATGTAAGAGTGCTCCAGGAAGCTGATGAATCAATTGACAGGTCACTCAGGAAATAAACATGCAGGGCCACACGCTGTGATCTGTGCAGCTGAGATGTCAACACAAGTTCATGAACACTTATATGGGATAGATTCAAACTGATTCACTCTGAATGCAGATTATAGTCATTAAGATACCGAGTCCAATAAATTCCTTTACAACTGAGTGTAACACTATACATGCATATCAGCATATTTAAAACATAATAATACTGCTTTTTTTTTTTGCTCCAGCACGCTATTTCCTTGGTTTGTATATTTCTGTCCTTGCAAAGAATATGCATTTATAGCTCTTTTCTTCCCACTGCTTGTCCACAAACACTGAGTCAAACTTAAGTTTCCAGATATCCTGCAGTATGTGAATAGTCATCATAAACTTCCTATTTGAATAGCAGTAATGGGTACCAGTTACCACATTATTTCAAATAAGCACCACAACATGGCTTTCAAAAGTCCAACTCTAGAAAAATATTTCTTCTTATATTGTTCAACTGCATAAGTTCTTCTCATTCTCTCTAACAACACATCTCATGTTTAATTACAACAACAAGTACTCTCCCCTACCTTACAAAAAATTGCTAAACAACTTATATATTTTCTTGATGGATCACCCAAGTTGTGTCTTATCCTCTCTCCTCTTCCTCATGGTATAATTTAGATCTGATATTTAATTAAACCAAGCGTCTCATTATCACTTTTATGGCACACTGGTATGAGTGACTTGAGATATGGAAAGACTGAGCTAGTTGTTGGTTTGGTAAGCCAGCATCTTACTGGGAACAAAATATCAAGACATCAATGTCAAGAGGTAGCATGAGAACTTTACAAAATGAGTAACTACATTGCAAAATTTCTCTCTGCCCCAATCCTCTACAAATTTTTACTAACTTGCTAAGGGTTCTTTTCTCTCTTTTTCCTACTGTTAGATGAGTAAATTAACTTCCAGATTCCTCCTAACCAGCTTTGTTGTTATTATTTGGGGTGTTTGGTTTTGTTTTTTTCCTGTACTGAGAGGCCACAATTCTGGTTGAATACAGGAAGATTCTACAATCTCTGCATGTATGTGCCATAAAAATGTTATTGTACAGACATATATCTAAGAAACATGTATTCTCCTCCCTTTCATCTCAATACTCTTTTACTTCTACCTTATTTTCCTTGTCTTCTTCTTAGAACACTGAGCCCATTATAAAGAAAAATGCTAATACTTTAAAGATACTGTCTCAAAAGCTATTGTAATTCCTGCCATTGCTAGAGAGAAATGAGCTTACTGTGGCAAAAATGGAAAGGTTACAGATTTTCATATTTACCCTCCTGCCAGTCTTACCCAGATGGTATGTGGTGGCTAATATCAGGCCCTAAATATTGGTGAAAATGTCTATATTTCAGCTCACAGTCTAAGAGAATTTATCCCTTGTGGGAGGTCCTGTTCTGGGAGATCTGAAATTTCTGCTTTTTGGAGAACTATAGTTTTGCTCTGTTTTGAGCAGCAATATATCATTTTTGAGCTGACCCATAGATCTTGTATATTAGTAACCCTATTGGAGGATTCTGAATGCATAAAGAGAGGAGATAAAGTTTTCTCAGCAAAGGAGATAAAGTTTTCTCAGCAAAGACAGTCTCTGTACACTGCCTAAAGAAATGAGAGGGTGGAAGTGATCAAGGATGTGTTCAAAAGAAATTAAAACTGAACTGAGGAGAATTTGTTTGTGTGAGTTTTCTTCCTCTTGAAGACGCCGGCCATGGAGCAGTGAGTTTATAGAGATTTTTTTTTCTATTGCTTTCTATATAGCTTTCATGTTGTCTTATCATTGTAGCTTAGGTTCCTAAAAACTAACACCAGTCCCTCTCAGAAGTTTAATATAGAAAGAACACATTAGTAGCCAATACACATATTGAGCTAATAGTACACAATGCAAAAAGCCCACAGAAGAAAATAAATAGAAGATAGATCTCCCAAGACACTCTTTCCACTTAGTCAAGGCTTGCCAATTCTGCTCACAAGCAGGACCAAATAATGATGCTTCTCCGTTCTGCAGCTCTCCCTTTGCTATAATTGAAGCTTTATAAACTTTGACTCTTTTTTCCTTTTCTTTTTTTAAGTAAGTTTTTATCAATGTCTGTTTCTTTGCTTCATACCAGAAGATACCACATTTTCTTTCTGTTCTTGCCAGAATTCTCACCCCTTTCCTTTATTACTGTTACCTGAGCTACCTAATTGTTCCCCTTTCTTAACTCTTTTCCATTGCCCCTCCTTGAAACCTATTCAAAAAATTCCTGACCAGAGTCTTGAACATATTTTTCCTGTGTATTAGAGTCTTCCTCTTTTGTTATCCAATCAGGATAAGATTTTCTTCTTAACCTATGAGAGCCCCAAATTAAAAATTCTTGTTGCACTGAGAGTTGTTCCAGGCTGCATCCAGCTGTACCTTTTCTTACACAAATCTGACATTGTTGTGGTAACAGGGGATTTGATTATAGGTGAATTTTATTAGTCAGAATTGGTTTCTTTTTAAATGTTCGGGTGGGATTTTTTCTGCAGTATTTTCTTTTTACAGAAATGAAACTTGTGGGTTTTTTGTGTCATTGACAGACTTTTAAAAAATGCATTTCACTTTAAGGGATGGTGTCTCCAACTGCCCTTGTGGAGTGAGTTTTTCAGTTTAGATCCCAATGTCTGGTGGAAGAGAAGCTGTTCTGTAACAATCAAAAGACAAGGTTGAGAGAATTTACTGCAGGAGAGTTTATTCTTTTGACTTGTGAGAGAAATCCTGGAGTCTGAAGAAAGTCGCTCTGGAGCCAAACAGGTGAAATGATAAATCTGCCTGTCTTTCCATACATGCAAACTGTATAGGTTAGTACCTATTTGAGATACAAGTTAAATGCAGTGGAAAGTTTTTAAGTTTGCATATATTTTTCTTTAGAATACAGTTGTCTGTGTACATCTAGCAACCCTTAGGCCAGTACAGATTACTTATGTTTCATACCTCCTCTCTGTCAAGATAATGAACTTGAATCTGATTACATATAAAAGTGGCTTAACTTTTCAAATGCACAGTGATGCTCTTTATTGTCTACCCTTTAAATCTCCGCAGTAGTCCTTTTGATACTCCTCTGGTAATTTGTTCTTTTGTGTGGTCTCTGGGCCACTGTTTTCAATTCAGTTGCCTGTATGGTGAGAAAGTGGTTATGTGGCTGCCCCAACCCTGGCAGTGTTCAAAGCCAGGCTGGAAAAGGCCTTGAGCAAGGGGGAGGTGTCACTGCCCATGGCAGGGGCAGCTGGAACTAGAGGATCTTTAAGGTCCATTCCAATCTCTTAACATTGTATAATTCTATGGTCTTATTTCTTTCCCAAATTCTGAATATAGTTGGTAGACACTGTCCAAGATGGAGACACCATCCTTGACTTAGCTGTGATCACAGTCTGCTACATCCTCTAGCCTTAAATTTTGGTGCTAATAAGCAACTGAGGACAGAGCTATTGCCCTGTCTGCCATGGCTCCTGGGAGAGCCCCTTCTGGGGTTTCGTTGCAGTTTTGGAGGAGATTGGACAGGAAAACATCCATATTAAAGTCATGTTGAGTGGGAGACTCTTTCCTTGCTGTGGTGAAGGTATTGATAGAACCCCCTTCCCTGTCACTCTCTGCTCCACACTGTTGTCAATCGATAGGGCTTTTTAGCAGCGAGGCCGCCTACTCCGCAGGCACACAGCACGCTCCTAGATGAGCTTTGATGTCAGGTAATCATTGCTGTATATAGTAATAAATGATGTGTTTACATAACAGAATTCCCCTGGCCTTTGATATACTCAGACATGTTATCAAAGTGGTGCTATGACATCTTGTACAATAGAAACAATAGGGAAGAGCAGAACTACACAAACGGAGCACGAGCAAGCTGAGCCCAAATGTGTGTTGCCATGCAATTATGCTATTTGCCCTTAGGGCAAGAATCACAGTTGAAGTAAGTTAATATCAACACCCTTATGAAGTCCTCAAGGACTATTTCTGTGATGGACATGGCACTTATTTGAGAAATCACTGGAAATCTCTGTCATCGTACCTGTTAATATGGATTAGGAGTTTGAATGGTAGTTCCACTTAAGTTTTGGGAACAAATTACATTAAGTTGCTTAATACGATTTGTCTCAAGTTCCATAATACAGGAAGTGTCTCAAAATGCTGACTTAATTTTCCCCTACAGGCTTCATTTTCCATATGGTTTTACTACTCTTTCTTATGATTTACCAAAATTTGCCTTTTTTTTTTTTTTTTTTTTCTTGCCATGACCTTGCACTAATGTAGGAGGACAAGTCTACAGGCTGCCCTGGTCACCTAACTAGATGAAAAGAAGGGTGAGTTTTGTCTTCTTTTTCACCTTTGTCTGGTTTCTCACCTTTGCTAAGGCTTTGGAAGATCTTACAGTGCTTTTTATTTATCCAGGCATGACATCAATACTGGGAAATTATACGTGTGCTTCTGTAAGCAGTAGCTATTAAAGGTTAATTTTCTGTAGGCACAATGATACTAATTTGCACCAAGAATGATATTTTTACAACATGAAGGTGTTGCATCCCCCCCTCAATGGTCTGCTGATCCCTGTTCCCTGACTGAGCCAGGACTTTGACTTGTTCCCTGATTTAAGAGCTCTGTTCCAGAGGTTGGACTGCTCAGGTTTTGATCTGATTGCAAGAGCCCACTGTGGTTGTCAGGCTGTTGTTAGAGACCTTGTTTGACTCCTTCACCTGAAGCTTAATGGGCTTTGTGGTGCTTTCTGTGCATTGCATGGCAGTCCTTGGGCCCCTGCTGTCCCCAGGGCACTCAGGGATGTACCAATGTACCTTCTGATTATGTTTTACAGAATTCAAATCAATCAGATGTTCTTCTCTGAGATTTTGCTTCTTACAACAGCCGTGTTATGGCTGGTTTTTCACAGATATATTAGTATATGCAGATCCCTGCTAGCTCCAAACACTGAGTGTGTGTACACAAGGAGCAGCAGAGGAGGGAAGTGATGAGAATTTTATGACATTTCCGGTCCTTCAGGGCATGTATCCAGAAATGAGGAAATAGGGCACAGTTGAAAGCCAGATTCCTGAACTCCTACTCAAAGTTTTAGGAA